GTCCCATGGTTCCTTCTACGATATACAAACGTCCTATATATTTGCCACTAATCTACTGCTTGATTTTTAAAGAGTATATTAAAAACAGACGCCATAAATATGGGGTAAAACTCTACGTGCTGAGCGAACCACATGGATTAGTCCAAAGATTTTCAATTTACAGTGGAGGGGGAGACATAGCAAGCGATCTTGGCCACACAACAAAAATTGTGCTGCACCTTCTAGAAAATAAGTTTAATTTAGGGCATTCGATATACATGGACCGATTTTACAATAGTTATGAACTTGCAGTGCAACTTCTTGAACAGGGAACTTATTGTAACAGTACTTTAGATAAACGACGAAAATCGAACCCAAAGGAAATTACACAAAAAAAATTAAAGAAAGGTGAGAATAAATCCCTTTTTTATAAAAACGTGCACATTGGAAAATGGAAAGATAAACGAGATGTTCTATATTTAAGTACTGAATTTGGTAATTAAATGACAGAGGCTACAAATAAAAGAAGAGAAAAAAAATTAAAGCCGATGCCAAATTGACAAATATAATCAGTTTATGTCTGGCACTGATCGTCATGATCAAATGTTGGCATACTACCCTTGCGTGCGTAAAAGTGCGATGGCATAAAAATATTTGTTCATATATTGCAAATGAGTCTCACAAATGCACATATTTTATATAATATGTATTCCAGGAAATCAAAAAAGTCTAGATTGTCCGTATATAATTATACCCGATCTATTGCGGAAGCCCTGTTGCCTGAAATTTGAACTGATAAAAAATTATAAACAAATGATCTTCTTCTTCACGTGCCATCTCCGCTACGAAGGTTGGCTATCATCATGGCAATTTTGACCCTGGAAGCTGCCGCTCGGAACAATTGTATGGAAGTGCAAGCAAACCACTCCCTGAGGTTTCTCAACCATGACATTCTTCTCCTACCTATGCTGCGCCTACCTTCAATCTTTCCTTGCATAATGATCACAAACTTATAAAAATGGAAAAACGATGAAAGAAAAATATTAAGAATCAAAAGTTACTAAAAGGATTGTAAGAAAAGAATGTAAAGTGTGCAGAAGCCAGAAGAAAAGAAAACGACGCTGTATGTCTGCAGGTTCTGTGATAGAAATCCTGGTTTTTGTGTAGATTGTTTCCATCATTACCACTAAAAATGAGTGTACACCTATAGGTGTACTCATCGCTTCTGATAAAATTTTCAACGAAGTGACCAACTACACCTATAGGTGTATTTTTTCCAAAAACAAAATGTATTTGTTTTTGTAATAAAAATATAATAAAAATCACTTTTTTAACAGTTACAATCAGTTTCCTAAATAAATCTGAAAAAATGTTTACCGGTCATTTAAGAATAACTGAAAACTTAGATGGCAATGAACAAGCTAGAGGACCTAAGGACATGCTGTGGAGGACCTCATCACATAATCGGCGGGCCACATTTATTTAGAAGCAAGCAGCCCATCGATGCCATAATAAGTATCATTTAAATTTGTGTTTTGTAAAGCTTTAGGCAGGATTGTTTTTGCTTTTTTTTATATGTTGAATAAATATGATTAATTAAATAATTGTTTTATTTGCTACCAGCTAAGGGTTCATTGTTTAATTCATAGTTTAAGACAAGACGGATTCACACTTGAGAGACTGGACTAGTCGAAGCATAGATGATAAGCTCCCATGGTTGATTGAGGTATTATTTTTAAAATAGTATTGCAATTCTCTTTGGTAGTTTTATTACAGTTGTCTATACATAAAATTTTCAAAATGGGATAAAATCGGACTATTTAAATTCTCTTTGTTAGGACAAAATGTAGATTGAAAATATTAAATAAATCATAAAAATAGGGGAGAAGCGACAATAAATTGTTAAATGAAAGAAAACCCAACATTTTTATTAAATTTATATTAAATAACTAAAGCTTGGAGCCAGTTGTTTCTCTTCTTTTATTATTTTTGTAATTACATTTATCAAATAATCTTCTCGATATAAATTTCAATCTGCAAGCGTATTCACGTTCATACGTTAAACAATCACATAAACGGGCATGTATGAATGTATATACCATTTTTTTTTCTTTTAGACTTGCGACCGAGAAAAAATTTAAAACAATCGAGCTGCCCGTCGATTCATTTAAATTTTCAATTACGATTTCAATTAAATAATTGAATTGGTTAATCGAAAAGCTACCAATAAAACACTTTACATAATGTTCATGATAAATTAACAACATAAGTTGATAAATTCAAAAACTAAAGGTTGAAATTGTTGACTTGAATAAAAGTTCGTTTAAAAAATATTTGTTTTTAATTTTTAATTTGTATAAAAGTATGACAAGAGCACGTTTTTTATGAAAATAAGGATTAAAAAAATTATTGTAAGACTTATATAAGCTTAATTATTATAAGCCTTTCGTGGGCCGGAAAAGAAAACACAGATAAAATAAATAAATTAAAAACAAATAAATAAAACCAAATTTAAAAAAAGATCATTCTACTGTGGGAGTCTGAGAGGAAACAGAAAAGGAATACCACCTATTATTAACCAGTCTAAGAAAATGAACCAATAGAGATCATTGAAAAAAGAAAGATATACTAAGAATTATTAAGTGGATGGATAAGAGACCTGTGTTAACGATTTCAAGTGTTCCAGCCGATAATAAACAGTTGATTCCAACAGGAAAGCAGAATGGGCAAATCGAGGATATTGTGAAACCGAAATGTATAATTGATTACAACTCTGCAAAGAAAGACGTAGGCTACTCTGACCAGATGTCATCTAACCACACAGTACTACGTCGAAGCTTACAATGGTACTGGTAAGAAAATAATATATTTAAGTTATATTTTTAATATCTTTTTCTGATTATTTTTTTTAAGAAAGTTGTATTTAAGATAATACTCGGAAGAGCTATTGTTAATAGTTTAATCATGTTCAATATGTGCTCTGAAACAAAAATGAGCATTACAGAATTAAGACGTCAGTTGGCTTATAATTTAATACAATAACCGGATAAAAAACCACTCCAAAAAAAAAAGAGTGGATACTTTAACAAAACCTGAAGGACCTGAAAGGAAACGATAAAAGCCATGTCGAGGCTGTCGTGAAGTATTAAAATCTTCATGTTTAAGTTATCTTTAAGTGGATAAAAAAATTCGTAGGATTATAACTTTTTGTTCAGATTCCCCTGGTCAACCTGGATACTGTTTGCCTTGTTTTAATAGGGCACATAATAAATAAGAAGAAGCAAGAATTACCAATCAATTTTAAAATGCTTTTGTTCTGTTTATTGTAATATAAAGTATTTTGTTTTTATAATCACCAATTTTATCCAATTACCTCCAAGACAAAATTTGGTTAGCTGTCTGTGCTACACCGGATGCTGGCGGCATGTCCTGTTTGAGAGGAAAGTAGATTAATACTTCTATGACAGTTTTTGGTATTCAATATATGCAGAAGTTATACTTCTGTGTACTAGAAGGCATGAAGTAGTTACATGTATACACATGCCGCAGTCAATGTGTTAATGTTATGTATATTGAGAACGATTTCCGAAGTCGAAATCGAAACGTCCAAATATACACTTATTTTAAATTGTGGCTTATTTTCAATAAAAATAGTAATTATTCTAGGTATATGTTAAAGAAGAAACTTGTCGAATACCTGCCTATTACGAAGTTCTAAACACAGTCCTAAACATAGTAAATTTTTCCTATTTCGCTGGAATATATGAGCAACCAGTTCCTACATCAAATTCTAAATAGGAATTTGATAGTCAATTTGGTCTGTTTATTATTTGTTTCATTTTTTATTTTTAAAGAGCTGATTCTTTCATGTCTGTTCCATAGAAGTAGTTTATTGTTCTAATTTTTGCTTAACTGAGATCTATCAAATTCTCGATTATTATTATACTTGTTATGTTTATTTATTATTAATAAAAAATTTCGCATTCAGAAAGTATTTCATAATCACAATTCTTTGTTTAATATGGTTCTAAAACTATTTTCTTGTGGCTTGTTCCTGATTAAATATTGTATACATTCGAATAGATCACAATGAATTGTAATAAACATTAAATTTTTTGTTTTTTTTTATGAAGTTTTGAAATCGTTTTAAAAAAAATTCTGAAATAAAATTGTGAAAAATTGATAATATTTATGAATGTTATTTACAGTTGCTAGTAAAGCAACTCTGAGAGGCGCACTTGGCCTCGATCTTGAAAACAACAGTAATTTTTATACTTTTAAAGCTGAAAATATTGAGAGGTGTTGTTAGAACCTTGTCGAATATAAAATTCTGATCAGTTTGTGCAGTTAGTTGTCAGCCACTAACATGCTCTTGAAACTTAAGACTTAACATAAGCCCCCTAGAAGTCGTCTTAGCCTGAATGTTACAAATCTAAATCTATTGAGTAAAATAAAGTACCTTGGGCTAATCTTAGACTCAATGTTTACTTATAATCAGAATATAGAACGAATAACCCAAAAAGCAGTGATTACGTTAATAGTGGAAACATAGACATATAATTAGGGTGACCATATGTACTTTTTTTAGTAGGACAGTACTTTCTTTTTAAACTCTGTCCTATTGTACTTCAAAATTTATGAAGTACCCCTAAATGTACTCTTTTTCTTATTTACACAAAATTAAGTCCTACTTTTTGGCCAAACAAAATATAATTATGATTCGAATTGATTCACGAATCGATCCTTTGCGGAAGAATCAGAAGTCCACTTGCGCAGGAGTCACTTGCGATCTTATTATCTTATTCATTTAGCAAAAATATATATCTTGTCGTACGTTTATGTTTATTTGTTACTTGTGCGCTCACTGTTGATTAGTCTATTAACTTTTTGTCTTAAATTCCGGCAGTTTTTCTCGTTTTTAATATTATTTTGTGCTGTGTGGAAAAATAAACAATTTCATCATGTCACCGCCCAGAAGAAAATGCCACTTTAATGTCGAGTTGCAAGCAGAGTATCATTTCATGAAACAAAAATCAAATGTTTTACTGCATATTGTATTTTGCCAAGTTTGTAAAAGTAATATTGATATTTCTAACAGTGGTCGCAGTAATATCAAACAACATTTGTCAAAGAAAAAACACATGTGGGCTGCTTATGCAAACTCGAAGAGCAGCAAATTGGAAATCTTTGTTAAAAAAGAAAATTTAGGTTCTGAAAGTATGTTGATTGCTGCCAAGGAAGGTACTTTTGCTTACCATACAATTAAGCAATTGCAAAGTTTCAGATCCTTAGACTGCACGTCAAAACTAATTGTAAGCATGTTTGAACCTAAATTTGCGGCAGCTCGAACCAATAGTGAGGCGATTATAAAAAATGTTTTAGCTCAAGAGGCTCAATCCCAATTAGAAATTGACCTTCGAAAAGCAAATTTTGTCAGCATCACAATCGATTCGTCGAATCATAGAAAAATTAAAGTTGTGCCCTTAATGGTAAGATATTTTGATGGAGAAAATGGTGCCCAAGTAAAATTACTTCAGGTACGTGACTTTCCTGGTGAAACATCAGAGCAGTTAAAAGATTACGTGGTCAATATTTTGAATCACCATAATCTACTACAAAAATGCATTGGAATGTCTGCTGATAATACAAATACAAATTTTGGTGGAATAAGAAGAAAAGTACTGAACAATCTATTCAGCAAATTAAATGCTTCTCGTGGTAAACTCGCGATTGGAATTGGTTGTGTGGCACTATTTTTAATAACTGTTTACAAAATTCGACGGACGTCTTAACCATAGACATCGAGGTTATTGAGGTGAAGATTGTTAAGTATTTCTATATTTTTACAATCAGAGCGGAGAAACTAAAACAGTTTTGCGATTTTGTTGATATCGATTAAAAAAAATGTTGTCGTTTTCAAAAACAAGATTTTTGAGCTTAATGCCAGCCATTGAACGAATTATACAAATGTTCGAACCCTTGAAAGCATATTTTTTATCTATTGGATATTTGCCCAACAGTTCTAAAATAGTTTTTTCAAAAAACAAGTTTCTTGGGCTGAAATTTTATCGTCGTGTGAGGCTTTTAAAGACTACATAGATCAGATATTGAATTAGAACCAACTGTTTGATGAAGTTAGTCTACGAACCTACGTTACAGAAGATAAAATCGCAGACTGGAATTCGAAAAACATTTCTACCGAAGATCGATGGCTCGAAATCTTCCAAAAAGAAAGTGCTTTGAAAAATCTTAAAATTCTATGTGAGTTTGTTTTTTGTCTGCCTGGGACCAGTGCGTCGATTGAACGGTTGTTCTTAAATATCAATAACTATTTGAGTCCCAACAAATCGCAATTGAAAATATTTACTCTGGAAGCCATCATGCAAGTCTAAACAAACTTCAAAGTTCCGTGCTATGAAATGTTTCAGTTCTTGAAGAGTAAACCACAACTTTTGAAGGAAATTCATAATTCCAAATGTTTGATTAAAAAAATCGTTATTATCATTGTTTTATTAAAGGTTCGTAAAATTTTAATCAGAAAAATTTCCTAGAGCACTGGCAGAGTACATATTTTCTTAAAAATTATAAACGTACTTTTTTTTTGTTGAAAAATTATGGTCACGCTACATATAATACAAATAGATTGAGCGCAGCTATACATCTGCATTCCCAAAGGCGACAGAGAAAAGTAAAAAAACCCGACCCATTAAAAAAAGATGCAGACACTGATTTTCATTAGTTTTCTGTGCCGCACTGTCTGGAAGGGGCTGATATTGCAGCGCTCAGTCCATTTCTATTATATCTAAATGAGTAGACAGAAGCTCTTATGAAAAAATTTTACTTTTAAAACGGGATATTGGATTTATAACATGGTGATAAATCCAATAACTACATTTATGCATCACTGGTATAATAGCCGAAGCCGCGTCAAAAATTTTCATCCTCACAGTAAGCAAGGTGCAAAGACTTGACTGCCATAGATTGACAGGAATTCTAAGGGGCACACCAACAGCATCTACAAAACTTGAGTTACATAATGGTAAGACCAAGGCAAAGTAAAATTATATATGCAATTAAGAATGCTGAATATATGATGACTTCTGACCATATAGTACCCAGATATAGACCTAAAATATCTTTCTAAGAAGACATCTGCCTACGAAAGGAATGAGGCAGAGAAAATGCAGATATGTGTACCTACTTGTATCTTGTGTGTGAGTGTGTAGATGACTTTGTCTTTATATAAGTGTGTCATGTTCAGTCAATAAACTTACAGTTATTGACGAGGTTGCAACCCCTATGTCGTGTTCTCAATTGATTCGCGAGTGTTTATTTGATTATACCTTATGTACATTTGTCCTATATTCATATATCCATAGGACGTTCCCTATTTAGCAATTGGAACGTGCTGTGATAAGAATGAGAACTTCTCTACTCAGTCTGTCCTTCATGGAGTAGTGGCGAACTGAGACTCTTAATTTCAAACCGACACAAGCGCTTCTGTGATAGAAAATAGGTGTTTATTTTCTTCTTCTTACGGTGCCTATCCGTTCCGGATGTTGGCGATCAACATGGCTATCCTAACTTTGCTTGCTGCTATTCTGAATAGTCCGGTTGTCGATGTATTAAACCACTTTCTCAGGTTTTGAAGTCAAGATATTCTTCTTCTCTCTGGTCCTATCTTTCCAAATACCTTGCTCTGAAGAATGAGTTGCAACAAGCCGTATCTCAGTTCATTCCTCATAACATGGCGTGCTTCCTCATAACATGAGTATTTATTTAATCTAATGTTATTAAAATGGATAAAATAAAAAAATGTTTTTAATCTATTGATTTATTAACCACACACTATTCTTTAATTGGATACCATCCATAATTCAATCTTGTACTCTCATTTTGGGAACTACTATTTCTAGAAACTGGGTTGCCTAATTAATTAAAAAAAGATTGTATCCGTTTCTAATATTTTAATTTTCTTTTTATCATGTTTCGTTTATAGGCCATATAACACAGCTATTTTAAGATATGAAAAAATAACCTCTTCAGTATAACAAAAAAATGCATCAAAGTATTTATTGCTCTAGTAGCGTTACACTAAATTGTCCGAGGGAGAGTCATTTTTCCCATTCACGGGAGCATTTGGTGTGACGAAACTTGGTTGTCGTGTGTGTGTTTCTGTGCTCGATGTTTAGAACAAGGAATTCCAATCGATTTGTAGAGATAATCATGACTTCAGAATTAATTGTTTGTTACGATTGCGATATTTGTTATGCCTACCTTTTGTTGAGTAGTTAACTGTGGTGCTCGGGGAAAATATGATATTGTATATTTTGTTTTACACCAGCTTTATCGCTTTATTGAAATAATTTAATGTGTTTGCAAAGCAATTTGCGTATGGTTTTATTATTCATATATCTAATTTAATAAAGTGAATAAAACGTTATTACAAAATTGTATCGGCATTATTTATTAGACTTTGGTAAATATGCATATTGCATATTTTGCATATTGTGCATATTTTATGCAAATATTTCATATTTTGGCATATTTGTATAAAAATTTGCATAAAGTGCATAAAAGATTTTTATACTGTATTTGAAAATTTTTAAACATACCAATTTATTTCAATTCTTGTATAAAATTTTGTAGTCATTTTAATCAAGAAATGATCTAAGTACGTAATCTCTACAGGTACAAAACATTTACAATTTCAAAGAAGATCAATTTAAGTAGCCCTCAACATTCTTAGAAAGTCTCGGTCACTGAGGCATTCAGTTATTGGATAATCGCTAAGGGTTCGCTCATTTGCATTTTATGATCTAATCCCCAAATCTATCTACAATTTATTGTATCTTAACAGCAGATAAACGGCTAATAGTTTTGTTCCTAATTTAGGGATTTTCCAAAATCTCCCAGTTTATTGAATTAGGTACCTAAACATTTCTAATTTGATGCTCAAATTTGTAAATCATTTTTGTTTTGATATTCAAAGCGTAAAAACTCGTTGTGCGTAACAAAAAGGAAGATTGTGATTTTATAATGCCTAAAACAACCAGTGCTTCAGCTTGGATTAAACCTTATAAAGAGCTGTCTATGGATATGGAAAAAATCTACTGTTCAGTCTGTGGCAAAAATGTAAGTATCTAATATTTTCTATTAAATATCTAATATTTCATACATACAGGGTGTTTCCAAATGACACTTACAACGTTTGACTGTAGATACTTCTCGAAAAATTGAACAAAATGATATAGTTAATGAGGGGTCAAACTTATTTACTTTTCGAGATACAGGGTGTTAAAATTAAAAAAAATTAAATTCTTTTATTTAATAACAACAATAACTTTAAAACCAATAAACGTATTTACTTGAAATTTAGTACTCGTAGGTTGTTTTTAAATGAAAAATAGCTTCCTTTAGTGAGAAAAAATTGTCCATGGTACAATACAATGGTGTGTATTTAGAAAAATTTTTCACCTTTACTTTTTTTTATGAAGTCAGCTATTCTAAAACACAATTATTTTTATTGTAATTGAATTAACAAAAAAAAAACTTTTGTTGAATTTTAAAATAAGTTATATGATGTACTAATGGTTAGTAGCAAAAACTAATTTGTGGATTAATACTGCATTTAAAACACTTAGCGAGTGTTTTTTTTTTCCAAACCAGTTATTTGATTAACCAAAAACACCTTGTTTATTTTTATATTTTAAAGGTTGGGTTAAAATAAAGATTTTTATTTTTATTTATAGATAGCATGTGAGAAGAAATTTCAGATAGACCAACATGTGAGAACTGCTTCACACATTGCAAAATAAGGAAAAATAGGAGGAAAACATCAAACTTCATGTTGCAAACTTAATGTTCCAAGTGATCGGTCTCTAAGAAGAAATAATGTGAACGGGCTATACTCGTCGGTGTTAATTAATATTAAGGAAGAAATTGCAGATAATTATTTTTACATATCTGTAGACAAAACCACTGATTCCTCAGGAAAGTATATTGCTCATTTATTGATTGGTGTTCTTAAAGAAGATACCTTACCAAAATCTCATCTTATTTCATGCCAGCAACTTGAAAAAACAAATGCTTTAACAATTTCGCGTTTTATACAAGAAACATTAGCAACTTTTTTTCTTCCGACAACTATTCCTTCTAATAAATTACTGCTTATTTTATCGGATGCTGCTCCTTATATGGTGAAAGCAGGACAAAATTTAAAAATATTTTTCCCAGATTTAATACATGTTACTTGTGTAGCGCATGGATTAAACAGAGTTGCAGAGAAAATACGAAAAAAGTTTCCTCTTGTAAATACCATGATATCCAGTGTCAAAAAAGTATTTCTTAAATCTCCTATAAGAATTCAACTTTATAAAGAAATGCTACCTAACATTCCTCTTCCACCACAACCTATTTTAACGCGATGGGGAACATGGTTAGAAGCAGCTAATTTTTATGCAGATCATTTTGTTAAAATAAAGAACATAATTGATACGTTAACAAATGAAAGTTCCCAATCTCTTTTGGATTCTAA